CCAGCACACGCAGTACATGGCATATTGTAAACATACAACCGATTTTTTAAATGTTTTTTTCAACTGCCGTTTGTAGACCTGACTCAAGTGATCATTTTAGCCCACGCTGACTCTTCTTGCTTAACAGAAGGTTGGGCTTCATGAACATCTTCATATACCTGCTGCTGTCCGCCTGGATTTCTAAGCAGTATGACACATCTTTCTATTCCCAGCCCCTGGGGATTTTTCCTAGATCTAGAATTTTATGCTCTGAATTACCCAAATAAGACATATGAAATAATTTTTTCTTTTGAATTGTTTCACTGTCCAGTTCCTATTGCCCGGGCTGTACTTGTTGACATGGAGCCTAAAGTTATCAATCAAACACTGTCAAAGGCTGCCCGGTCTGGCCGATGGAAATATGGCCAGCATGCATACTTCTGTCAAAAACAAGGTTCTGGAAACAACTGGGCATATGGGTAAGACTAATTCCTCATGGTTTTCAGTTTAGTTACAGCTACACAGTCCATTAACAGTGAAGTTACAGCTACACAGTGGTTAGCATGTAATCTTGACTTGGTTTTAAAATTTGGAATTAGACTTCATCTAGGAGAAAAGCTCATTCCATCTACCTATCTCTGCTTCAAGTACAGGTAATGATTAAACAGAGGATCTCCCTTAGCCTTGTTTCCTGTGTTCACTGTCATGCTGCAAAGTAACTTCTCATCAGTACAGTATCCATATCTGGCAAATGTTCCAGTTATAGGGAATACAGCAGAGCAGTAGTTCCCAAACTTTGCTGCATGTTAGAATTTCCTGGGGTTCATTAGAACATCCTCATGACGAGGGCTTACTTCCAGAGATTGTGATTTAACTGGTTTAGAGTGAAGCCTAGATGTTGGGATATTTGAGAGGCTCCCAGGTGATGCTAATATGTAACTCAATTTGAGAACCACTGCTTGAAGACTGTTCTTAGGAATATTGAATATTATGTTGTACTGTAAATTTGTATAACCACGTGATAATTGAAAGCTGCTCCAGCTAAAGGAAGAGAAGTTGGCTAATGGGTACAAAAATATGGTTAGATAGAAGGAATCAGTTTTAGGATTCATCAGTATAGTAGGGAAAGTTATAGTTAATAATTTATTGTATATTTCAAAATAGAAAAGAAGAATTATAATATTCTCAACACAAAAGATAAATGTTTGAGGTGATAAATGTCCAAATTATCCTGATTTGAGCATTACACATTGTATACACATATCAAAATGTCACATGTACCCCCAAAATATGTACAACTATATGTACAACAATAGAAAATAATAAAGGCTGGGCGCAGTGGCTCACTCATGTAATCCTAGCTCTGGGAAGCTGAGGTGGGTAGATTGTCTGAGCTCACTGGTTTGAGACCAGCCTGAGCCAGAGTGAGACCCAGTCTCTAAAAATAGCCAGGGCTCGGCGCCTGTGGCTCAAGTGGCTAATACACCTAAGGTGGCGGGTTCGAATCCAGCCTGGGCCCGCCAAACAACAATGATGGCTGCAACGAAAAAAAATAGCCAGGTGTTGTGGCAGGTGCCTGTGGTCCCAGCTACTTGGGAGATGGAGGCAGGAGACTTGCTTGAGCCCGGGAGTTGGAGGTGCTGTGAGTTGTGATGCCATGGCACTCTACCCAGGGGGACAGCTTGAGGTTCTGTCTCAAAAAAATAAAAAATAAAAATAGCTGGGCCTTGCAGTAGGTGCCTGTAATCCCAGCTACTTGGGAGGCTGAGGCAGGAGGATCACTTGAGCCCAAGAGTTTTTTTTTTTTGGAGACAAGAGTCTCACTTTGTCACCCCTGGTAGAGTGCCATTGTGTCATAGCTCACAACAACTTCAAATTCTTGGGCCATCCGCCTGCCTCAGCCTCCCAGAGTGCTGGGATTACAAGCCTGAGCCATTGTGCCCAGCCCCAAGCCCAAGAGTTTGACTCAAAGTACCCAAAGTGACACTCTGTCTCTCAAATAAATAAATAAATAAATAAAAAATAAAATAAAATTTTGTTAGGGTATGCATAACTTTCATGAGAGTTCCTTCACTTAAAATAGTTTTGGAAAAAAACCTTTTTATCCTATATCTTTTTCTCTGTATTGTGTCTGTCTGGTTAAATTAAAAGTTGTTTGTATTTGTTGCTTTTGCCATTGCATAGGTACTCTGTCCATGGACCCAAGCATAAAGAATCTATATTGGACCTAATCCAGAAGGAAGTAGAGAAGTGTGACTCTTTGAGTGGTTTTTTTATCATAATGAGTATGGCTGGGGGCACAGGATCCGGGATAGGAGCCTTTGTGACACAGAATTTACAAGATCAGTACTCAAACTCTTTGAAGATGAATCAGATTATATGGCCTTATCGAACTGGTGAGGTATGAACATACTAATTGAAAATACTATGTTTTATGTTTTTTGCACTTGAAATAGATGTGGATTAAAAGATTGATCTCACCCTTTCTTTGGAAATGTTAAGTTACAGCTTCAAAAGAGTGATGATACAATGTGGACTTTTGGAGCAATTCATTTAACTTTGCTTCAAATTTTCTAAACAAATGAGATGTCCTTATTAAAAATTTTTCTTTTTAATTTTTTTTTTTTTTTTAGAGACAGAGTATCACTTTATCGCCCTTGGTAGAGTGCTGTGGTGTCACAGCTCACAGCAACCTCCAGTTCCTGGGCTTAGGCAATTCTCTTGCCTCAGCCTCCCAAACAGCTGGGACCACAGGTGCCCACCACAACGCCTGGCTATTTTGTTGTTGTTGTTACAGTTTGGCTGGGGCTGGGTTTGAACCTGCCACCCTCAGTATATAGGGCCAGTGCCCTACCCGCTGAGCCATTATTAAACATTTTAAAGAAAATGATTTTGCTGCTTCTCTCAGAAACCCTTTCTATAGAATGCCCCTCTGGCTACAATATATAATACAGGTACGGTGACCTCATGTCACAGTTCATGGTACCACTGCCAACCTTCAAATAATTTCTATTTCTATTGGGAGGAACATTGTATATAAGAACATTTCCTTTTTATCAACTTAATTGGAGAAACAAAACGGAGGTGAGACAAGTCACTATAGGACAGCAGTTTTCAACCCGTGGGTCGCGACCTGTTTTTAACAATGAAAATATGTTGCAGCATTAGGAAGGTTGAGAACCCCTGCTATAGGAAATGAGAGAAGCAAGTCAGTAATAGTTGTTTGTTGTGCCCTTACTAGGTACAAAGCACTGCTGTAAGTGCTTGACTTGCATCATGTCACTCATTCTTGGAACTTTAGGAGGTCATTACGAATGAAGAAACTGAGGCATAGTGAGATTAAATAACTTTGCCCAAAGTCGTACAGCTAGAGAGTGACAGAGCCAGGATTTGAACCCAGGCAGAATGCCTGTAGAGTCTACCACAGGCAGATTCTCTCCTCCCTTTCTTACTTCTGACCTTTTCCTCTCCAGGTTATTGTTCAGAACTACAACTCCATTTTGACTCTTTCTCACTTGTACCGATCTTCAGATGCCCTGCTTGTTCACGAGAATGATGCTGTCCATAAAATATGTGCGAAACTGATGAAGATCAGGCAGATCTCCTTCAGTGATATGAACCAAGTCCTCGCACATCAGCTGGGAAGTGTGTTCCAGCCTACTTACTCTGCAGAAGGCTCACCTCACTACAGAAGAAATCCACTGGGTATTTTTCTCCCTGTGTGTTGTTTGTAGGAAATTTTTACTATATTCTGAAAGCCTCAAAGTTTATTCTTTTTTTTGAGACAGAGTCTCACTTTATCATCCTTGGTAGAGTGCTGTGGCATCACAGCTCACAGCAACCTCCAACTCCTGGGCTTAGGCAATCCTCTTGCCTCAGCCTCCCGAGTAGCTGGGACTACAGGCGTCTGCCACGATACCCAGCTATTTTTTTTTTAATTGCAGTTTGGCAGGGCCTGGGTTTGAACTCGGGACCCTTGGTATATGGGGCCGGCACCCTACCCACTGAGCCACAGGCGCTGCCCCTTATTCTTCACTATTTCCTCTCCTCTGCCTGATCTCTTGTCTTTCTCATCTCTAAAACCTTCCTATGGACCTGCTTAGCTCTCTGTACCATCTTACTGAAAAGCTTTGAGAAGTTGGTGAATTTCTGAAAAGAGTGTTGGTCTCTTGGCCAGGTAAAGTAGCTCATGCCTGTAATCCTAATGTTCTAGGAGGACAAGGTGAGAGGATTATTTGAAATTAGGAGTTTGAGACCAGCCTCTACTAAAAATAGAAAAAATTGGGCGGTGCCTGTGGCTCAGTGAGTAGGGTGTCGGCCCCATATACCAAGGGTGGTGGGTTTGAACCCATCCCCAGCCAAACTGCAACAACAAAAAAAATAGCTGGGCGTTGTGGTGGGCACTGTATTCCCAGATACTCAGGAGGCTGAGGCAAGAGAATTGCCTAAGCCTAAGAGTTGGTGGTTGCTGAGAGCTGTGACGCCACAGGACTCTACCCAGGGCAACAAAGTGAAACTATGTCTCTTTAAAAAAAAAAAAA